GGAGGGTCGACAAAAGAGGGGAAGGCCTTCAACGAGATGGATTGACACGGTGGCTGTGATGATGGGCTCAAGTATAGCAGGGATCATGGAGCTGGCGCGGGATCGGGCAGTGTTTCATTCTGCTGTGCATGGGGTCGCTATGAGTTGGAAACGACTCGAAGGCACCTAACAACAACAACATGTAACCAACACCCGATTAATATAGAGAACATTTCCAAAACCCTATAATGCTTTCTGTGACCCCCTCAATAGAAAACCCCCCAAAGTAGCCACTATTCTCATCTCTAGCACCTTAGTTTTGCCTGTTTTCAAACTTCATGTAAATGGAAGCATGTGGTATGTGTCTGTCTTCATTTGCTCAACATCATGACTGTGATTCATTCATGGTACTGCATTTAGTAGTACTTTATTCTTTTTCATCATTGTGTATTATTTCATTATATAAATATAACACATTTTAATCTTTTCTACCATTGATGGATATTCTTGTATATTCATTGTACAATTCTGTTCTGGTTACCTAGTGATGCTCTGACAAGAATGTACTATAAATGGAATGGCCTTAACAAACAGGAGTTTATTCTCTTACAGTTTGGGAGGCTAGAAGTCCAAGTCCAAAGTGTCAGGCTCTAGGGACTGGGTGAAAGCTCCTCGGCCTTGGGCTTCAGCTCTGCCTCTTGCTTCCAGTCCACTGAAGCTAGAGATATCTCTTCACTCAGGCAGCTACTGGCTGCTGAGGCTAACCCAAGGTTGACAAGTAAAAAGGCACAGTCCTGATGTTACCAAACCACATGGCAGGCCATTCATTCAAGTCCACTGTAAGTCCCAAGATCGGCAGAGCATGGCAGGCTGCTGAACAGTGACACGGCAGGGTCCAAACATGCCATCAGCTCGAGGCTATCCCCAAAGCTTCTCCTTATATACAGGAAGCAGACCACATCCCAAAGGCAGCTACTCAGCTGCTTGTGGTAGATCCCACCATCGAGTTGATTGCCAGTCTCATCATGGGGAATAACTACCACCAACTGCCCAGCTACTCAACCTGTTCCTGCCAAGCTGACATACAAATTTAACTACCACAAATTCTTTATGTTTTTGGTGGCTTTAAGTACTCTTTCTCCTATGTATATCTATAGCTCAGGATTGGAATTGCTGTTATAGAGAAGACGTATATTTAACATTAATCCACAAAATCACACCCACTGCCATCAAGACAATTCTGACTCATGGTGACCCTGTAGGACAGAACAGAACTGCCCCATAGGGTTTCCAAGGCTGTACCTCATTACAGAAGCAGACTGCCACATCTTTCTCCCACAGAGTGAACAGTAGGTTTGAATCACCAACCTTTTGGTTAGCAGCCCAATGCTTTAACCACAGCGCCATCAGAGCTCCTTGGCATTAATAGATACTGACAAATAATTTTCCAAAGTGATTATACTCATTAACATTTCCACTGCACATTCCGTTTGCTCCATATCCTCACCAACACTTGGTATTATCAGTTCCTTTAATTTTAGCCATTTTGGATGAGGTAGTAGTATCTCATTATGGTTTTAGTTTGCATTCCCTTGATGATTAAGGATGTTGAGCACATTTTCATATGCTTATTGGCCATAAGGCACTTGACTGCTAACCAGAAGGTTCAAACCCACCAGCTGCTCTGCAGAAGGAAGATGGAGTGATCTACTTCCATAAAGATTTACAGCCTCGGATACCCAATGGGGGTTGCTATGAGTTGGAAACAACTCGATGGCAGTGAGTTTTTTTTTTTTCTGGTTCACTGGCCATTTGGACATCTTCTTTTGTCATAAGATTTTTCAAGTCCTTTGCCCATTTTTAAAATTGTATTGTTAGTCTTTTTCATTAATCTGTAGGAGTTCTTTGTAGTTTCTGATATGAGTCCTGTTGTTTGTTGTTGTTATGTACCGTTGAGTTGAACCCAACTCATAGTGACCCCTCCTTGAGTTTCCCAGGCAGTATCACTACGGAAGTGGATTGCCCTATCTTCCTTCCGAGGAGTGGCTGGTGGGTTTGAACCGCCAGCCTTTTGGTTAGCAGCCAAATGCCTTAGGCACTATGCTACCAGAGTTCCTATGAGTCCTGGCAGGATAGAAGTATTGGAAATATCTGCTAGTCTGTGTTTTGGGTTTTCACTCTCCTAAATAGTAGCTTTTGATTAACTGAAGTTTTTAATGTAAATGAGGTTCAGTTTACTCAATCTTTTTGTGTATTGTTAAGAAATTATTTTCTTTCTTCCATAGATTTTTCTTTTAACTTAAATTTGTCAGATTGACTCTAAAGCATAATTAACACCAAAGCAAGACAATTATATATATTATTGACAAAGCACTGGCTGGGAGTTGAGAGACTTGCTACCCATGTGAATTTTTAATGTCTCTCAGCCTCGTTTTCCTAATCTATCAGCATAATAATATCTGCTTTGTCAACTCTAAAAACTTGCTTTTATGTGACATCCTGTATGTGAAAGTAATTTCAAAAGTTAAGACTTAGGGTTGTAATATTAGTTGGTGCCGTCCTTGAGAAGAAGGTGAGTTTTGTTGTTGAATGAAGCTTCTAGATAAGTAAATCTTTCCTGAAACATTGGTGATGAGGCCTTAGGAGAAGTTAACCTAAAATTTGGAATTATTTTGTTTTTCCCCAAACAATTTGAAACAATATTAGCATAGTAACTTAACATGGATACTCTAGTAACAGACTTCCTGGGTTTGGAGTCCAGCTTTACTCTTCTAACTATAGGATCTTGAGGAAATTATTTATCCTTTTATGCCTCATTTTATGAAACTGAAAAATTGAGATGGTAATTGTACCACCCTCATAGAATTGTTGTGAGGACTAAATGAGTTAATATACATAAAGTGCTTAGGACAGCGGCTGGTACATAGTATCTGTAAGCTGTTATAGTGTATATATACGGTATGTACATATGTTAGTGCACAAAGGGCATGGTAGAGGCATCCTTGGACCTGTAACTTCACAAGGGGGAGACAGAATCACCATTAGCAACCCAAGGCTGGTTCATGTGAGGTGGAGGTCAGACATGCCACCACCCTCCAACCTGTCAATTCTGACATTAATCGTCTCTCCCACTGCACTACTTCTCCGCTGAGTTTGATAATTCGTTGCAATGGCCACATAGAACTCACAGACAATACTTATGATTATACGTTTTATCAGGGAAGCAACAGGTTATAATTCAGGAAAAGTTTAGGATACAGTTCTTCAATCAGGACAGCCTTCCTTCAGCCACACCCACAGGCATGCCTTTCTTTGGCCCTCAGCCTCTCAGCTTGGCCTCTGCCCTGCTTGGACAAATGTTACAAAGCTCTTTCAGCTCTGCCAATAGGTGCGCTGCCTAACGGCACTCAGATTTCTTGCTCTAGGGACCCGCAAGCCCGCTGCTCTGTTCTAGCTGCTCTCTCAGCTCTGTTGCCTCCACTGCCACTGTCTCTGCCATGTCCCTGCCGTCTCTCTGTCGTCGTCTCAGTGCAGGGATCTTGGTTCCAAGGACACACTCCACTATGTGCTTTTCTCTGTCTTAATGAGTAGTGAGATTCCCTCCACCCCTTTCTGCTTCTGAAAGGGCTCATTTTAAGCCTAGAGGAATGACAAAACTGACCAATCTCCACATTAGAGTTCCATGCACCTTCTTTGTACAATCCCACCCCCACAAGGGAGCTATGTACCTTATTTACATTATTAACAAGTGATCCAATCCCCTTGCTGGGCGACAAGCACCTTACATTTCAATAGTTCCACCTAGTCATCTGGTGGGAGGTTACAAAGACCAGGACTAGAAGAGCAATACCCAGTAATTCACTGTGCCGCAGTTAGCTTTTATTAACTGCTCTGAGCCAGGCCTATGCTGTGTGCTGCCCTTACAGAGCCTCACTTTAGTACCTATTGCATAAGATTGTCAGATCTGAATTGCCACCTAGATTATACTTTAAGAATTAATACAGTTTCAAATCCTATCCTTAAGAATTTAGAGAACTTCATACCATAGTTAAACTTTTTTTTTTTTTTTTTTTGCATAGCTCTTACCAGAGAAGTATGTATATTTTTTCTTTTTTCTCCTTGATTCTATGGATAGAGAAATAAGTACCAAATATATGGTTCATTTTTTTCAACAAATATTTACTAAATGATAATAAATTGAATGCTAGGTAGTATTCTAGGCACCAGGGTTACAACTGTGAACAAAACAAAACAAAATTCCTTCCCTCAAAGAGCTTCTAGTATGGGGAGAGGAATAAACGATAAAATAAATAAGTAAAACATGTGGTATAATTGATAAATACTATGGCTATGAGTCGGGGCCGACTCGATGGCAAATAACAACAACAACAACAACAATGGAGAATAATAAAACAAGGAAGGAGATAGACTTGATTCTCTTTCCTAAGAGTCACATCTAAAAAAGAATTGGGGTTTCTGTGCCAGTTCCATGTACATTCTGCAATTCTGTATCAATTGTAGAAATCCCAGGAAGCAAGAGAGACTATACTGGAAGTTTTTCTCTTTACACATTGCGATTTTGTTAAATTTGAGTTAAGTTTTCTTTTTCTTTTAATCTCTCCTTCCTAGTATTAAAGAAGAGCCATGGTCACTGCTTCAGTCAGTTCAGACTCATTGTATTGGGTTGTACAGATACCTACCAGAAAAAAAGAAAATCCAAACCCATTGCCAGTGAGTCAAATCCGATTTGCAACCCTGTAGAACAGAGTAGAATGCCCCATAGGGTTTCCAAGACTGTAAATCTTTATGGAAAAAGTCTGCCACATCTTTCTCCCGCAGTGACTGGTAGGTTCGCAGGCAAGTGCTTAACCACTGTGCCATCAGGGCTTCTTGTACAGTTATTTAGTGGGGCTCAAAGTTGTCTCCCAGTGGCTACAAGTCTTAATTCTCTTTTGTAAGATCGTGTCTATGATTATATCTGGTGAGTTTATGAAATCCAAACATTTTCTTATGTGTGTCTGATAGCAGCAACATCTCCTTAAATCTGAGCAGGCCCTCGGTCTTCCAGCAGCCAGTCATCTTCCTGGGAGCGGATGTAACGCATCCCCCTGCAGGGGATGGGAAGAAGCCATCCATTGCTGCTGTCGTTGGCAGTATGGATGGCCACCCCAGCCGGTACTGCGCCACCGTTCGAGTGCAGACTTCCCGTCAGGAGATCTCCCAGGAGCTCCTCTATAGCCAGGAGGTAATCCAGGACCTTACTAACATGGTTCGAGAGCTGCTGATCCAGTTCTACAAATCTACCCGCTTCAAACCCACTCGGATCATCTATTACCGTGGAGGGGTATCTGAGGGACAAATGAAACAGGTACTCTCTCATTATTCCATTATGGCCCTTTGAGGCTTCTAAGAGTCTGATGGTGTTTCCTTTCATCTGCTACCCTGGGAAAATCAGATCTGAGGGATGTGAGGAGAGTTCTCACTTAAACATAATTCTATTTCTAATTCCTAGGTAGCTTGGCCAGAACTAATAGCAATTCGAAAGGCATGTATTAGCTTGGAAGAAGATTACCGGCCAGGAATAACCTATATTGTGGTGCAGAAAAGACATCACACACGACTCTTCTGTGCAGATAAAACAGAAAGGGTAAGAAGACATAGTATAAGCCTTATTATCTGAGGCCATTACAGATGAATGTGGTTTTGAGTGGAGATATATATATATGTCTAAAAGAAGTGCCTAATAATTGTGTAATAACTAATACTAACTGCAGTTGAGCTTAGAGATCAATTCTGAAAGATACACGTATCAGGACGGAATATTTCTCCTTTGTGACAGAAATGCTGGTTTGTAGAGTTTTGAGGAAACAGAAACATGCCAGGCATGCTGTAGTGATACAGACAACCTCCAAAGGAAAAACTTATTTTTTTGGACTTTATTGCCATTTGCTGTTTTTTGTTGCCAGAGCCTGAGCCAAGGCTCTAGGATATAAAGAAGAGTTTCTTTACCTAACTGCTTTACTTCAGTGCAGGAGATTATTAGAGCAAAACTTTGGATGCTCATGATGTTATACTTTCTAACTATGGGCAAGTTGCTTAGCTTCTCTAAACCATAATATTCTCATCTGTCAAATGGGACTAAGAAAAATACTTATCTCAAAGGATTATTGTAAGGATTAAATTAATAAATGAATGTTAAATTTGGGCACAATTCTTAGTACTTGATAAAAGGCATTTTATGTTATCTGTTTATAATCCGATATTTATGTGTGAACAAAGTAAGTTACTGTTACAGATTGAATTGTGTGTCTTAGAAAGTGTGTATCATAATTCCTAACCTCTACACTTGTGGTTACAACCCCCTTTGGGAATGGGTTGTCTTTGTTATGTTAATGAGA